CGCACAATGTCTGTGTGTTGGGAGCAACCTTCATCAAGAGGCCTACAAATTCTCTTGACGTTGCTGGATCAGTAGGGTGCTCCGCACCTACTGATCCTGTCCGTTTTTTGACGGTCCATCCCGTTGTTGCGTCTTTGCACCAACTGCGGACCCTCGTCCCTGCCCCTTTCTCATGGGTGGACGGTCACTACGCCCAGTGTCGCGAGACACTGGACGAGGGGCACTACACTCGTAAGCGTAGTGTCCTGTCTTCTGACATCTGTTGCATCTCTGCAACTTCTTGTAGCCTGTAGAGCGAACCTTCTCGCTCTCTACATAACAGAGTTCCATCGGCTCTGGACCTCCGTTGTCATATCGTCTCGGTTGACGATATGATGTCGAGCTGGCGCGAGCCTGTCTCAGACTGAAGTCTTCCTGCTCCGCAATTGAAATGGCTTGTTCTAGTGAATCTAGTTCAAGCCGGAACAGGTGAGTCTTGACGGGACCATCCGCAAGACCCTGCATGAACACCGAAACCAACGTGTGTTCATCCACCGGATTGGAACTTATACAACTCGTGAGATGTCGTATATGTTGAGCGTAAGCGTGCACATCACGCTTACCCTGCTTGAGCTTCAAGAGTTCGGTTCGAGCTCTGAACTCAGCTCTAGGCGGTTCAAACGTTTGTCTGAGCCGCGACTTGAAGACTTCCAACGACCCAAACGCATATGGGTCGTGCAGCTTGAGCCCCAGTGCCCAAGTCTTGGCACGTCCTGCCAGATTTGACTGGGCAAATGCAACTTGCATATCCCCGTCGTCGATGCGACGCGCCCTTATGGCGTCATCCAATTCGACGAACCATCTCAAGAGGGAGTCTTCTTCGACCCCTCTATACTTTGAGATGTCAATCTTCAAAGTCTCGGACCGACGCGAGTGCATCGACCCGCCAGCAGCAGCCTGCTGCTGTCTCAACAGTTCAAACTGTTGAGCACCTTGTTCTCTCAACAACTCTGCTTGTTGAGAACCTTGTTGGTGAAGCAAGGCTACTTTCTCGCGTTCAGCGTCAAGTTCATTTTGGATGAACTTGGCGATAGTAGCATGTTGGGCGTCTCTATTGAGAGCCTCTAGCATGACGCTAACAGCATGGATGCCCATGGTCGAACCCATTCGTTCAACCGCATCCCATTCGACATCGCTCAAATGGGAGTAGCCGTCACGCGTAGCGTGAAAGCTTTGGTCATCTTCATCATCCAACATATTCATGTTGGATGTGAACGCGGTCCTTGGACGGACTACTAAGTGCTACCAGGTGTAACGGGGCACCCTGAAGCTTGTACTGGTGACAGTACAAGCTACTTATTCTGATAACAGAATAAGGCGGTGCCTCGTAACTTCACGTACACTCGTACGTGCAGAGGAAGACGGTAAGAAGAAGCGAGTACTCGGTTAGAGTAAAAGTAGAACTGTATTTATAATAGTTAATGTCTGCAATAAATCACTATTTATCTTCATCTAACTATGTCTAAATACAAATGTGTAAATCAGTTATCTGCTCACCACTCATTGCGTGCGTCTGTCGTGGCGCGTCTTCGTTGGTTGATATAATGGCCTATATCAACCAATTAGGAACTACTTGGAAGTGCTACAGAATATTGTCCTTATGACAATATTCTGAGAATATAACTCTTATAGTTATATTCTATTAACAATTTCTTATAAATTGTTATGTAACGATTCACCCCGTTACACGTCTTGTACTTGAGCTTGAAGTTGGCGATGATGCCGGCATCTGCCGGAAACAAATGCGACCTGGTGTTCGAATATAGGAAGCGAAACTTTGTAAGAATTGAATGATATTCGGCAATTCAAGTTCTGTTGCAGAATGATGCATGACACTTACCGTTATGGTGATCAGCTGGTCCTCGTAGACCTCCACGGAGTGCGGACTGGTGTTGTTTTGCAGCAGCAAAATGTTACGACCCTGACGTTGAAGCTGGTGGTTCGGATCAAGAATTCAAGGATTGAACTCTTCGTCCTTCATCCAAGAAATCCTTGTTTGAATATACTCTACATGGGGCAGCTTCGTCATGCCAACGTTGAGTTAGCAACGCATTTGGCAGCAGTCCCAATGACGAGCGGTTTGAGCTTCTCACAGCTTACAAGAATATTCTAGCACAGTTCACTCGTGTTCACATCATGCTGAAAGCACATACCTGACTGACGCATTGCAGTCAAACAGAACAGAAATCCTGGACTTGTTTTTCTGGTGGCCCTTCTCAGAACTCCGCTCCAGCGTATTAGGTGGACCCATGCGGTAGAGCAGTCCGACTCCATCACTGTTGAAGACGTTGTTAAAAGAAAACTTGTCGATGAAATTTTGAAGCTCAAGTCGGAAGGCAAAAAAGCTTGAAGTGAAGCTCTTTCTGTCACTTCATGAAGACGGTACTCCTTGATGTTGTAGCGATCCTTAGAGCGCTAAAGCCAAAAGTCGGAGGCGATAAAATTTGATTTTATCTGCGCCGGGGGTGTTGACACCGAGGACTGTTTCAAGTCGAAGGGCATTCGATTGAAGAAGTTCATCGGCGAGCACGACGTCGTTGGACCTCATTTGAACAAACCAGATTTTCGCCGCCATGAATCTGCAAAAGAGAACGGTTACTATTTTAAAAGCGACAAAGGAAAAGCAAAAATGGCACCAACCTCATTGGAGCGGACCACGGATTTCTTGATGCGTTCCACGTTACCACCGCCTGCCTTCACTTTTTTGCATTTTGGAGAATGACTTCCTTTCTCGTTAAGGATGTCTGTGACCTTCTTGCGCTTCGTCTCATATTTTTACGCAGTCACCTAATGAGTTGATGCATGTTTTTTTTATTGGAAGGCTATGCTGGCCGTCTTAGTCGCCAGCGAGATGACCTGTCTTTTCTTGACTGAGTTGTCGTCTGCCATTTTTCTTGTGGTGGATGTTGTGGGGAAAAGTGAGTTGTGGCAAGGGGATAGTCTTCCCCTTTCATACATCTCTGGCGTGTCTTAAGATTTAATATGTATTACGTGAATTTGTCGGATCTATTGAAAGGCCAAGATTTTTAATCTTTTTCCCTATGAATTTCTGGATAACTCAGATCACCATTTTTGACAGAATTGTGAGCCAGAATAAAACGGGCGGCTGTTACAGAGGGCAGAAATGAATGTACCGTATACCTAGAGTATGGCTGTTGCTGGTGCAGCTGAATAGCTGTTATAGATAGCGGATTTTGGCTGGAGGAAATCTGTAATCCGGTTTCGGGGGCTGCTCTGGAATTGTTGTTGTTTCAGTGCCTGTTACAGAGAGATTTTGATAAATCTCTGTAACTATAGGCCGAATTAACTGCATGTATGTAAGCTAGCAGACGAAATACAATAATCTATTACAAATTGCCCTATTTTACTGCTTCATCGTTGACACCCCCCACGAGGCTACTTTAGACTTTTGATACATAGAGAGTCAAGCAAAACCTCTTCACAAAGAATGAATTGTCGACTTTAATCGTAGGCGCATGTAGTGAATTTAAAGACCACCAAAACCCCTATTTGTGAGAGTTTACAATCGCTGTCTGTGAAACCTTCACAAACGGTACCTGTTAGCACTCACAGATCGTTCGCACTTCATACTTACACAGGCTAGCGCTGTTTTTCACACATACACCATTAAGTACGAATCTCACGACGCGTAGCACAAAGCAAGCAACATGCATTTCAAATCGAGGGCTTTTATGTTCCGATGTGGTGCCAGAAACTTCACGATGATTAAACTAGATTGTACGCAGACGAAAAAATGATGATGTCAAGCCAGGATTTACTATTTACGTGACACTTGTTTGCAATGACAGGCTTGTTGTCAATAGTACAGGAGATACTTCTAAACGGTCAAATTTAATGGTATGAGGTCGTACCAATATACAATGTATGGCAGCGGCCAAAAATCCATCGGGAACGCGACGCACAAAAGACGAAGCTTGACTTTGTATAATGCTGTAGCTGACCTAGCTCAGCGAACTCAAGGACATGTCGAGATGAATGCTGGCATCAAAACTGGGACGACAGTACACTTTTGTACCCACTGTCTGCGAAAGACATTGATCGGCTTTTCACGCTTGTGGAGAACAAGATCGCAGTGCAAGGTGAAGACTGAGATGAGCTGAAATATCAATTTGAGTAAGTTAAAAAAGACACGTGCAGACAGTTATGCATTTACTATACTTCGTAGAACTTGGAAAAGTCCCGAAGCCGAGTGGGTCTCCCGGATAACCGAGGAAATGAAGCGTGTGAAACGTGCCAAGTGGCATATTCACGCCAGGTTAGACGCCGAAGGTATAAAAGACAAGATTTTCTGAAGAGAGCGATGGACGCAGGGCGGCATTCGAATATAGCGCGAAGTGGGATAAGGAAGACGAAAACGACGAAGATAAGCTAGCGATGAGTGGAATCATCAAATGTAACGGGGCACCCTTTGTTTGGGTGCCACGAAACTTCACGTACACTAGTACGTGCAAAGGAAGCTAATCTACTTGAACGACTCGGTCAAGTAAAGATAAAAAGAGGACTGTGTTTAATATAGTCAAGCATCAATATAACTTTAATCTTTATCCAACTATATTAAACTACATCGTCGTATGACGACAACCTGATCACCACTCATTGCGCGCGTCTAGCAGCGTTTAGTAGCAATCCATGGTTGATATGACTTATAACAACCAATATTGGAGCAGCACATGAATGTTATCCAAAAGGGGATAATATTCCTTCAACATTATCCATCTCGAACAATATCGGTAGAATATTGTCATGCTAGACTATATTTCTATTGACACCGTTTGGTGTCAATATCATGTTACGGTCTACCCCGTTACATCACCCCCCCCTTAACCATCAATTACCCGTTAATTGAATTAGAATTGATTGGGACTGAGTGACCACCGTTGGATCACTCTGGGAAAGGGAGCACTTGTTGGTCAAATCCCAATCGTTTTTTAATCCAACGCATGTTTTCGAAAATCAAGCGAGTTGCTACTGCAGCAGCAAGAAGGGTGGCTGCACGCATGCGTTCGGCCGCGGAAAGTGCCTCTCGCACCTCAGCAGCAGGCAATTCGTCGCCTGTTGTTGTAAATTCTCCACGTCGTGAGTCACCACGTGCGGCAGGTACATCCGTTGCGTCTGCAGCGGGTACCTCGGGTCGTAATCGAGACGAGTCTGAGATAGAGCTCATCTATTCTGGCGAGTCGGATGATGCATCCTACTTGAAGGAGACTCCTCACGTCTCCGGACTCACCCGGGGCGGACACTGCAAAAGTTAGGTTGACTGGCTCTGGTTAACGCGACGGTGTTATGACCGAGAACTTCGGATCGAGTGATTATTCCGACAAATCTCCGCCTCACGCAAGTCCAGCCAACGACAGGACGTGTGAAAATGGTGGTGATGCACCTTTACATCACCACGAGCAAAAGTACTCAAGGGGTCGGGGTTACACTGGTGTCAGCGCTCATGCTGGCACCAATCAAGAGGCCAGGGACCGCAATGTCCTGCGCCACGCTCCTCAAGTGGAGTCTCCGTGGATGCCTTCATCCAGAGAGTTGAACTGGTTGGCCGGCATGACTAAGGAACGGGATCGAATGCCGTTGTTCGATTGCAGGAAAATTTTCCCACCTGATTCCAGCACGGAAACTATCCGTGCTAAGGAAGAGCTCTTCACCGATGCGTTCTTTAAACATCGGTGGTACAATGGCAGCCATGTTCGAGACGGCAAAGCCTTGGTGCAGGGATGGAATGACCTTATCCACAACATCAAGTGTATTGTCCATGAGGCCTGGATCGCCAAACTTGATGCAGCTCGCATCAGATTTGAGAAACGCAACCCCGTCGGTGCGCGATACAAGTTGCACCGGCTTTCAAGAGAGGCAGGATTACCCTGTCTCTCGTGGGGTGATTCGTGTCCAGATTGCCTGGACAACTCGAACTTTTCCCCTAGGGAGGCCTAATTCCCTAATGATCCCTACTGGAGGGCGCGCATCTCTTTCAAGATGGCCGAAGGGATTGAAACCTTGCAATCCCTGTACTCGCGTTTGGGGGGTTCGTTTTCCGACAGCTCTTCTTCAACCGCAGCGGGTGGGTCCCGTCGTACTGCTTAACGAGACCAAGGACATCAACAATCAGCTGGGCACGAGGCTCCCAGCTGTCCCACGCCGGTGGATAGTCACGCCAGCGGACGAGGTAACTCGTCCGGACGCCATTAACATTGCGGTATCTCAAAATAAGCTTCACTAGGAAGTGTTGACCACCGCTTGAGTCTACCAAAAGATATGGTGGCGGTGGGAACGCCTGATCCGGCTTGAGTGTCGGATCAGCTTGATGTTCAAGAGCTGAACCGTGTGACGGAACAGTTGCAAGATGACCTGTCTCATGAATGGACTCGGCTTTATGAGCTTCAGGATCTTGCAAGGGATAATTGCACTTCCTTCATGACGATCGTTCGGGCGATCGTGCCTCTTTTGCGTTCGCGCAACTTGAGAACGAACTTTTTACTCGTTCTCTTCGTGACGAGCTGGCTATGGCTCGTCGAGACATATCCCAACTGCGTGGCGGGTTGCTTAAATAGTCGACCAGACTAGCTCGTTGAAACAGGACCATTCGAAGGTGGTCTCGGCTCTTGACCGCGTAGGTGTTCTTCGCCTCTCGAAATGGGCTCGTACTGATAGTACGGGCGGAGAAGCCCAACATTAAATTTAGGATGCGTACGCATCCTACAAGACAGTTCACCCGTGTATGCGCTGCCCATTCGGCGCAACACACGAAATGGACCGATGTACTTAGGCAGTAATCTTCTGCTACCCACATTTGTCACTGCGTGTTTTGGCAGATTTACTTTAGACAGTAAAACAAAATCTCCTTCATCAAATGAAAGAACATTTGCTCTTACATGTTTGTCTGTGTTTCTTTTCTGTCAGTCTAGAGCATCTGCGATAGAGTCTGAAATGGAACGAACAACCGCTTTGCGAGTCACCGAAAATTTCTCTGCTGATTCATCCTTGTCAACAGCAGTGCGCTTCGTGTGCACTGCTGAAAGAACGTTTTCTTCACCAGTGAGGGTGCCATCGTCCTCACTGTGGCAGTTATTGGTGATGCTGAATATACCAGCATCGTCTTCATCGTCATCGTCATCTCGATATCGATCCCATCGACATCGGCATCCATCACGTCGACACCAGTGTCGACGGGGGATGAGCAAGAACCAGATCGGTTTTTGTTCGAGCGAGTTTACCCCCCCCTTAAACTAGAGTCATATTCTAAGAAGGCGGGTACACGTGGATGGCGTAGGCCGTTCACGAAGAACAAGGCATGCATTGTAGACGCGTGCACTGAGTTGTTGATGGTGAATTCCGCCATCGGCAAGAACTCACCCCAGCTCGTAAACGAGTGGACATACCCTCGAAGTATCTCTTCGAGAACGCGATTGACGCCTTCTGTCTGACCATCTGTTTCGGGATGGTCAAAAGTTGGCATCGTCAAACGTGTTCCAAGTAAACGATACATGGATTGCCAGAACTACGCTGTAAAGCGGCGGTCCCTATCGGTCACGAGTTCATTGGGTAACCCGTGAAGTCGGAAGATAGTATCGATGAAGACACGCGCACATCCCTGGGCTGTGATTGACTCCTGTACAGCAACAAATGGTGCCATCTTGCTGAACCGGTCAACAAACACAAGAATACCCTTATTCTTGTGAACGTCTTTGGTAAACCCAAAGACGAAGTCCATCGATACGGACTGCCAACACTCTTCCGGAATCGGAAGAGGCTGCAACGGTGCGCGGGATGAAGGACTAGGCTTCAACCATTGACAAACTTCGCAAGCGCGAATGTATTTCCGCACAAACTCACACTGGCGGGGCCAGTAAGAGTCGTGACGTAATTCGTTTTGCTACCGCGATGCCCACTTGTTGGGGCATCGTGACACTCATACATGATGCGCAATCGCAAATCATCATAAGCGGGAACGACGACACGAGGTGTGTCGCCGTTGACTGCTGTATAGCACGGCAGTCCATCACGGACAGAATGCCGTTCGGTTGAAGAGCGGTATTGAGACGAAAAGCTTTTTCAAGCTTGGTTACACGGATTGGATACGTAATCCATCAACCGCAACAGAGACTCATCTTCTGTGTATGATTTTCGCACGTCATCGAGCAGATTCGACGACACAACAACTACTTTTAGTGTCGCGATAGTATGATCACCCCTACTGATGGGTTGAGCAGTCGACTCGAAAATGCGTCGACGCGATAGAGCATCAGCGAGGACATTAAGTCGTCCTAATTTATACTTGACGGAGAAGTTGTACTTCGCGAAGAAAGACAGCCACCTCGCCATTCGTTGCGAGAGGTGTGGACTGTTTACGGCCATGCGTAATGACGCATAGTCGGTATAAACGATGAAGAGCCGATCTCCTAAGAGATAAACCCGAAACTTAGCCAGTGCATATTTCATGGCAAGGGGTTCCTTGTCATGCACCGGATAATTTCGCTCAGCTGCTTGCAGCTAACGCGATTAATAACAGACGACGCGCTCAACGCCGTCTGAGTCGTACTGCATTAACGCGCAGTCGATTGAAAAATCGCTGGCGTCACAGACCACATGAAATGGCCTATCCTGATCTGCATTTCCAACACAGGCGATTGCATCAAGCTTTTCTTGATACCTTTAAAAGAGTGCTGACACTCAGCACTCCATGACCACATCTCGTTTTTCTTTGGCAGACGAGAGAGATGTACGGTAATCTCGGCATAGTTGCGCGAGTATTTGTGCAAGCACGCCGCCAAGCCAAGAAACTTTCGAACTCCCTTGACGTCGACTGGTACAGTCCAGTCGCTTATCGCCTTTATCTTTTCCGGATTAGGGCGTACGCCGTTTTTACCCACGATGCAGCCAAGAAGTGGTATTTCGTTCGCTGCAAATATACACTTCTTGAGGCTCGCGAACAACTTATGCATTCGCATAAGAGTAAAAACCTTCCGGACGCGGATTATAAGAACCTCCACGTCCGTCTTCCCATCCATAGCCCGGCTATGGACGAAGACATCGTCGAAGTAACTCGGTGCGAAATCGCACACCGATCGCAACAGATTCGTAACACATCGGTCGTACGCTGCGGGGGCGTTACTTAGCCCCTGTGGCATCACTAGCCACTCCCAGAGCATGCAACTGGGGGTGCTCGCTGCTGTGTAAGTTATATCCCGTTCACGCATGAGGATCTGATAGAATCCATCCATCAAATCCATGGACGAAAAGATGGTAATCGTTGACATACCATCGATGATGACGTCCTTCCTTGATACCGGCGGTTAAACCGGTACCGTTGAAGAGTTCAATTTGTTGAACGTGTGCAATATCCGCCACCCTCCTGTGGCCATTTGCACACAGAAGGTCGGAGAGCTGTGTGGGGATGTTGATTCCCTCACATGACCAGCCGCTAGTCGATCGGCAAAGAATTTGTCGATCGCTGTTACCTGTTCACGAGGCAGTGGCCACTGCTTCATGACACAGTATTTCAAACCAGGTTTCAGTTCGATCTCATGCCGAGTGCCTTTGTCTTTGTGCAGATCGCGTGGCACGGATTCCGGAAAAAATCCCTGAATTCCACCAAATACTTGTACAAAGGATTTGTCTGTAGAGACTCCCAAGATTAATACTTGTATCGCTCAATCCGGGTCTTCTCATCGAGGACACTCTCGTTCATAGATGAACTACTGAGAACCTATTCGCTCTCAGCAAACACTTGTGCCGACCGTATATCGGCGACGTACTCGTCCTCTGTGACGATTACGCAAATCTTTTTGATCTTGTCACTACACAGATCTCGCAAGAATCTTTTAGATTCTAGCGTTGGCAACTTGATTACCTCCAGAGCTGACGTCGGAAGTGTAACCATATCAAGTGTATAAGCGCCTACACTTAATCCGTCCTTCACCATGGCATTCACTGTCTCGGTGATTTCCTAAGAAAATAAATCCGTAGGTGGTCAGGGGAAAAACACACCCTTAGCATAACTCTCTCGGGAGTTATTGCTCTAGGGACCGCCGGAATTTTATTCCGTTACGTGTACTATCACGGTCGCGTCCTCTTCAATCGACTCACTCTCAGTCGATCGGGCTTGCTCTACGATCGACTCTCTCCTAGCCGATCTCGCTTTAACATGTTGTTCATCCTGAACAACAATAATTTATCTTCTTCGATGCACCCTTTTTTGGTGTGCATCCGTGTTCCAGTCCACTCGATCTCTTCAAGTGGTGAACCTCCGGCGCAGCCTTTGTCTCTTCACATGTGCCGGAAGCTGGTTCCACTGTGTAGTAGCCTTCTACACTGTGATCTTGTGCGATCGTACTAACGACCGTACCACAAGTGAGGCCATCGCATTCACTAGTAGTACATCCACACGCTTGTGGACGCTCCAAGACGTTCATCAGATGGCCATCCGATGAACAAACGGCAGGCATCTTCACGGATCGATGCTGCCAGCTTATCCATGGCCGGTACTTTCTAAGCCATGGCAACCAAGGATGACATCGAATTTGTCATCCAAATCCAATACAATGAAGTCATCAACGTACCGCTTTACTTCAAACGTGTAGTGGATTCCCACTACACGTCTGTTCACTGTTACGGATGCGCCTGTAGCAAGGCACACCGTCATCCTCGTTGAATGGAACTCTCGCTCAACAAAGTTGAGCCTACTATCAACTAGCGGCTGGCGTCGAATAAAACTGTTCGACGCCCCACATTCAACTAGGGCGCGAAGTAACATTCCACATGTCACTTCGATCTTCAAAGTGATGAGAGACTTCTCATCACTGGGGGCAGTAACACACAGAGACTGCGTGTTGGGAGCAATATTCGTCAAGAGTCCTGCAAATTCTCTTGACGTTGCTGGATCAGCAGGGTGCTCCGCCCCTACTGACCCTGTCCGTTTTTGACGGTCCGACTTG